CTCTCTCTGTCTGCCTCTCTGCCTACTTGTGATCTCTATCTGTCAAAAAAAAAAAAAAAAAAAAAAAGCGAGAGATGATTACGCTTAGTAAGGAAGGCATGTCAAAGGCTGAGCTGGGCCGAAAGCTAGGTCTCCCTCTTGCACCAAACAGCCGAAGGGCAAATGCAAAGAAAAGGTTCTTGAAGGAAATCAGGATGTTTACAACAGGGCTTACTGAAGGTTCTAAGCCCATTGCTGAGACGCACTGCTCAGAAAAAGAGATTCCTTTCAAAATCTGGCCATTCACTGACAGCGTGCCGGGTCCCCCACAAGCGCTGGTGGAGACGGACCATGGGAGTGACGCTGTTTTCACGGCTGCCGTCACAACATCCACTCCCGCAGCCCGTGGGTCAAGGAGTCATTTCAACTTTCTCGTCTTATTATTTAAGAAATCCATTTCGTAAGGGACAGCGGCCATGGACAGTGATTCCTCTGATGGACCTGGCCAAAATGAAATGAAACCTTCCAGGAAGGATTCCCATTCTAGAGGCCATTGAGAACATTCCTGCTTCATGGGAAGAGGTTGATTCCGGCCCTCATGGGGGGCCTCGGAGGGCTCAAGACTTCAGTAGGGGAGTCACTGCAGATGTGCTAGAACCAGCTGGAAAACTAGGATTAGAAGTGGGGCCTGAAGGTGGGGCTGAGATGCTCAGGGTCAGACTTGAGCAGAGGAGGAGCGGCTGCTTCTCAGGGATGAGCTAAGAAGCGGTTTCCTGAGGGGATCCTCCGCCGGGGACGATGCTGTAGAGGCCGCTGGGATGGCCACAAATGATTCGGCGACACACTTAGCTGATGCGGCAGCCCCAGGATTTGAGAAGTTCTCCTGTGGGACAGATGCCATCAAACAGCATCACATGCGGCAGAGAAATCAGCCACGGAAGGGCAAGCGTCATTCCCGTCTGATTCTACGAGGCTGCCGGGCCTCTCCGGCCTGCCGCCGCCGCCACCCCGATCAGTAGGCAGCCGTCGGCAACGAGGGGAAACCTCCCACCAGCAAAAGGATCGCGACTCCCCGAAAGCTCGGACGGTGAGCATTTTCTAGCAATAAAGAATCTCTTCATGAGACACGGACATCGTGGCTTTTCGACACGGCGCTCCTGCACACGTAACAGGGAAACCAGGACGGGAGCCTTCACTGCCACACCGCTCTGTTGTGGGGGTCTGGAACGAGCCCGCAGTATCTCTGACGTGTGTCTGTGTGTGGGTCCAATGGAGTGTGACTTAGCCATGAAAAGGGATGAACTGACACAGGACACAACACGGCTGAACCTTGAAGACAAGCCAGTCCCAGGAGGACAGATGTTTTACGATTCCACTTAGAGGAGGTTCGTAGGGCTGTCCAATCCATGGACAGAAGCAGGACAGAGGACACCAGGGGCTGGGAAGAGGGCAGCTAGGGCAATGAGGAGATCCTGTTTAATGGGTCCAGAGTTTCTGCTTGGTATGATAGAAAGTTCTGGACATAGTGGCTGTGGTTACACAACACCGTGAATGTACATAATGCCACTGAATTCCACGATTAGTCTACATCTGGACACAATTCTTAACATGCACACTCTCAGAGGAGAGGGACAGCCGTGAGCATGACAGACGAGTTCTGAGTACAAGCTGTCTCTTGACCCCCCCACCCCCACCCCGAGCCCGGCCTGGAAAAGGAGCAAAGAGCTTCTGCCGGGTTCATCCCCCGCCTTCTGAGCCCGCAGCCTCCCTACGGGGTGCTATATCCTATGCTGCGTCCCCCACTACACCAGGACCTACACCCAGGAGTCCGCATCTGCATCATAGGAGAAGACAGGGCAAAGTCTGTCTTGGAGACTTCTCAGGAAATTAGGAAGTCTACAAGAGTATGTATCAACCTTTTCCGTTCCCATTAATGTCATGGCAGCGGAGCTCATGGCAGGCCTGAAAAACCAGGGTAACAGGCGCATTTACAACCCTCATTAACACCTTCCTTTGACCCTAGTCTGACCGCCAGCCTGGGGCGGGTTTCCAGCCCCGGCCTCGTGGTGCTCTGCTTGCTACTCTCATTAACTTCAAAACCCTCTGAACTAAGTAAAAGGCATGGGGCCCTGTACGCCTCCGGGATGAGGCCGCCTCCACCCCGCCCGGCACCAAGCGCAGACCCCGCTAAGGATACCCAGCCTCAAAGCCACAGCATGGGTCTGCTTTGGAACGAGGCTCCCCCAGCTCCAGGAGCAAAAGGGCAGTTCCGAGCGCCCTTGGGGGCAGGGCGGGGTGGCGTGAGGCCTGGCTGCTGGCCTGGCAGGCTCCACGCCTTTACAGACAGACTGAGCACCAAACTTAATAGAAGAGGAATTCTTTAAAAATAAATTTAATGGGGCGCCTGGGTGGCTCAGTCATTGGGTGTCTGCCTTCGGCTCAGGTCGTGATCCCAGGGTCCTGGGATCGAGCCCCGCATCAGGCTCTCTGCTCGGCGGGAAGCCTGCTTCCCCCCCTCTCTCTGCCTGCCTCTCTGCCTACTTGTGATCCCTGTCTATCAAATAAATAAATAAATCTTTAAAAAGTAATAAATTTAAAAATACAGGTACCATTTTCCTGCCTTTATTTCTGATTTTAAATTTACAAGAGACCCTAAACACTGCCAAGCACATGCTTTTTTGGTCATAATTCGTCAGAACTCAAGTGTCTCCTTGACCTTCACGTGAAAAACAGAAATACTAGAAAGGCTAAGCCATTCCTTAAAACTGGCCGTAAGTACTTTTCCAGAGATATATGCTCAAAACATATGCCATCGTTTTTCCCTGAAGGAGTTTCCATGAGGATCTTGCTATCTCTACTGCGCTTCATAATTAGCAGGAGGAGAAGTACCCTCCTTTATCACATCCATCTACTAATTAGCCAAACTACACAAAACTTGGGCTTTGGCCCAGTTCCGCATCCCTCTGCGCTGTGATCCCATCTTTGGCAGGAAAAGACCCTGCATTCTAGAGGCAGCGTGAGCGAATTACACGGGTTTATTCCCATTACCTTAACAAACACACAAACAGAAATTTCCACGCTAGAAAGAGTCTAGCGTCCTCAGTTTTACCCGCCAGCGGTCAGACCTCCCAAGCCAGCGCACACAGATGGACCAAATTCTGCACCCACGGGTCTCAAGTCACCTCCCGCACGGCTTTCCGGCTCCGCCGACCTGACAGCGTTCGCCGGTCCGTCGGCCCCTGAGACTCCGCCCGCACTGTCCTCCCCGCCCCTGGCTAGAAAGATGAAGCTCTCGGGGCGCGCCACACAGCAGACGCAGCTTACAGACGTGGACGAGACCCCCAGCACCTGGCTGGAGCACGTTCCTTCACCCCGAGAGGTACCCCGAGCCCGAGCGCCCGCAGCATCTCTACGAGGGAAGCAGCCCAAGAAAGGAGTGAACGAGCTCCTTGATGTGACTCTCTGGGGTGACCCGGACGGAACGTCCCCTCTCACGCGCCCGCTTCTGTTGCTCTGCCAGCGGCCCAGGCACAGCTGAGAAGGATCTGCGAGCTGCGGGCACCCTGGGACGCTCCGGCAGACGTCATCTGAAGAACTCACCCAGCGGTCCGGGCGCTCGTCGGGGAGGCCCCTGTTCCTGATCTCTCCTGTATGGAAAGTGGGACTTCCGAGCGTACAAATGCCCGGAACAGCGTAAGGACAGTGCTTCCCACCGACCAAGTATCTGCATCTTAGTAAGCGACTTCCTGGTAGCGAGTGTAGTGTTTCAGAACACAGGAGTCGTGCACACCAGTGACTCTCCTGGCTTTCTTTATTCAAAAGTAAAACAGGCACAAAAAAACAGAACTGAAACGTCCAATGTCACCTGAACTAGCAAGTTCACCGAAAGGCTTACAGGTGAACTTGCATTTTAGGGAATCAATTATCACTACTAGAGAGAGAATGAATTGTTTTTCAAAACATGTATCTCAGGAAAATGCTGACCAGCGGGGCACGTGGCTATCTCATCCCCTTCGTGCCGGGGAACCCAGCGGTCTCGGGAAGTCCCCTGAGCACCGGGAGCTGCTCTAAGACGGCCCTCCTCCGGGTCCTGGACGTGGGCCTCACCAGAAGGATGGATCTTCTGCAGGCCGCCCCCTGGCCGGGTCAAGCAGCCGCCCACGGGCACTCTCACTTGCAGGAGGAAGTGGTGTGGATACATACGCATTCACGTCCCTCTCAAGTCACTCACATTCTACCGTCTATAACACATGGCGCACGGTGACTGTTTCGGAACACAAAGTGGGGGCCTGGGGGAGGGGAAGGGACACACCGAGCGCCCCTACGCGTCACGTTCCAGGGCGCGGAGGTCCTCCAGGAGCTCCTGGGCCACGGTCTGCAGGTGCGGGTTGCGGCTCTTGGCCATGGCCACGATGCGTTGCAGGGGCAGGGAGCTCCGGAACTCGGAGGCCGACTTGGAGAAGACTTCCGGCTCCAGGACCACAGACTGGACGAGTCGCAGCACGTGGAGACACACCTCTGTGTCCGGGTCTGGGGGAGAGAGGGAACGCTTCTGGTTAGAATGAGACCCTGCAGGAACCGGTGAAGTCTATCCCTCAGGAGCTCTCAGCCTTTTGGAACGACGGGTCTGACGGCTTGGTGACCACCAGCTGACTGAGGCACTGTCACTTCTTGAGGCTAAAGGCTTAGTGCCTAAGAGCGACACAACAGAACTCAATGACCATCGATTTAGTGACGTCCATCCTCAAATACCACTCGCACTCGGATAGTCTGAAGACGCGGAACTAAAAATAAGAGTGCTTTCGTGCTGCCCGCGGCTGCGCCCACGGGAGACTGTGGAAGAGGTACTGCCCCGTCTGTACTCGGAGCACATCGGTCCCCCCGAGCCCCGCACAGGCACGGCAGCTCCCTGGGGCCCCCGGGGCCCCAGAGTCATGGGCGGCAGGACGCACAGTGCCGCCCTGTTCCCGAGGAAGGCTCTCTCGAGTCCGGGAACCTAGTGGTGGGCACACGCCGCGGTATCGCCGCAGCATGGCTGGATGCGAACAGCCCGGCGCAGAGCCACAGCCGTAACCAGGAGGCTCCGGCTGTCCTGCTCCTTGCGCCTGCTGACCGGGAAGCCTCAGTGTGCCGTCCGTCCACTCTCGGCCGCATGTCGTGATGGGAACCAGGCTCAAAATCAATCCCTCCTTCTTAGCGCTACGCTTAACTCTTTGAACAAGTGAGTGGATTGCAAGAGCAGACTCGGGAAGTCCGTGGTGAGAGCTGCCGCGTGTGGACGCTGCCACAGACCCCGCGCTGAGCCGGGCCTCCAGGGCCCAGTGAAGATGGCAACGCTCCACGCAGGACGGAGGGCAGGACGTCCTGGGCCTGGACCATTTGAGTCCTCCTACTCTGGGGGAGGACATGGCAACTTCCCCCAGTATGGGCCGGCCAGAGACCCGTGGCGGAGTGTGGCTGCCACAGGGAGGAGGACAGGATCACTGGGAAGGCCCCAGCACCCAGACGCAGATGGACAGGTGTTGCCCCAAAACAACAAAGAACTTCCCTTGTCCCCCAGCATCAGCGCAGCAAACTCCCAGCAGCCAGTAACAGCCGTCTACGGCCAGGAAAGGAGCGAGAGGAAGGAAGGTGACCCCTGAACACAGGCGCAAAGGGAGGGTCAGCCGCACGGGGGAGGGGAGCAGGGTGCCGAGGAAGACATTTGGGCAGCCCAGCTCTCGCCTCACGCTGCAGGAGGAAGAGAAGAGACCTGGAAGCCCACAGTGCACAGAAGGCGAGAACAAAACCCACACCCATCTCACCGCACACCGACAGCCCTGCAAGAGAGGATGCACGGCCCTGTCCATGGCCATGCTGACCTCACCCCTGCTGCAGACAGGCCGGCTCACTACGACCCGGAGACCAAATGCCGCCCATGAGCCATTTCTGTACAGGCTGTGAGCGAAGAGTGATTTTTACATTTTAAAGGGACACTTTTTTATAAGGGGGGGGGGGGGAGAATGTGCAGCAGAGACCACATATCGCCCGAAAGATATTTACTATTCAGCCCGTTACAGAAAAAGTCCGCTCTTTTGCTCTGCACACAATGTCCAACATCCAATCAGAAATTACGACAAGGGAAACAAAAGGCCCACGGTGGAGTGACGAAGTAATGCACAGGGCCAGACCCAGACACGACCCAGCTGGAAAACGAATCTGAACCAAAAAGGATTCATAGACGGGGAACACCGATGTACAGTCCTAGAGTGCATCTGATTGTAATGTAGACCCTAGGGCAAGTCATAAAAAAAGTGTTTAAAGCATAAATGATAAGCCAACAGTACCATAAAATAGAATATTAAAATAACCTAACAGCGAACAAAAAAAGAGGAAAAAAGAAACTAGAGATACTTTTCTATTTTTCCTTATACATTAAATGCAAATAGTATCGACACACCGATGACACTGAAAAGAAATAAAAATTTAAAAAAACACCGATTAGAAGCCAGAGGATGCATAACACAGCAAGACTTCGCTATACATTGCTCACAGGACACTCAAGATAAATACAAAGACAGAGGTTAAAAGTAAAAACAAATATTTAAAATACGCCACACACTGCTTAGAAGACGGCTACAGAGCCTATATTACTACCAAACAAAGTAGACTTCAGAACAGGAAACGTTACCAGGACCACGGAGTAACACTGTCTAATCACAGAGCGGTCACACACCAAGAAGGCAGAAAAGTCTCAGTTATGTATGGATGTACCGAATGACAGAGCTTCAAAAGACACAGCAAAATAGGATAGAACTCTACGGGCAAATCAATTCTCAGTTAGAGCTGAACACTTGAATGTTCTTTCCATTACTGATTTTAAAAAGTAAGGGGGGCGCCTGGGTGGCTCAGTGGGTTAAGCCACTGCCTTCGGCTCAGGTCATGATCTCAGGGTCCTGGGATCGAGTCCCGCATCGGGTTCTTTGCTCAGCAGGGAGCCTGCTTCCCTCTCTTCCTCTCTGCCTGCCTCTTTGTCTGCTTGTGATCTCTCTCTGTCAAATAAATAAATAAAATCTTAAAAAAAAAAAAAAAAAAAGTAAGGAAAAGAAAATCAGTAAAAACACAGAAGCCCTGAACAACTGAGTTGAGCAAGGTCAGCCCGCGATGACCAACTGTATCCACGTATCAGTAACAATACTTTGGAAACGGAATTGTTTTAAAAGACTATCATTCACAATAGCACCAAAAACAAGATACATTTAGGTATAGATCTCACAAAATGTGTGCAAGATCTGTATGCTAAAAACCATAAAACACCGATGTAAGAAATTAATGAGGATGTAAGTAAACTGAGAGAGACAACGTGCTTACGGACCAGAGGACCCGATACTGTTATGTCAACCCGCCCAGTGATCCACACCCAGTGCCCAGTGATCCACACCCAGGCACTCTCAGCCAGAGTCCCAGTAAGCTTGTTTGTAGAATCAACAAACTAATTCTCAATTTTCTTTGGAAAAGTAAAGGAATTAAGATAGCCAAAACAGTTTAGAAAAACAGTGAAAGACTCAGAGTACTTGATTTCAAGACTTAAGAGTTATCAAGACAGAGTGATACTGGTGAAGGGACAACCACAGAGATACATGAAACAGGATTAGCCTCGGGGGCTCATTGGTTGGGCGACAGCCTTCAGCTGAGGTCATGATCTTGGAGTCCCAGGATCAAGTCCCACATCGGGCTTCCTGCTTGGTGGGGTGTCTGCTGCTCCCTCTGACCTCTCCCCTCTCATGCCCTCTCTCTCAAATAAATAAAATTAAAAAAAAAAAAAAAGAAAGGAAAGAAAGAAACAGGATTAGAAAACACTGGAACACACCACAGTTTTGTAAAATCTCAACATATAAACATATAAATGGCATTTTATATTCTTTTTAAGAAATGCATTTTAATTTTTAAAAAAAATAGCCTTTTCAGGTTACCTGTCTTGGTTCCGTTAGAAGACAGTAGGAATTTTGATCTCGGGGTTGTGAGTTCAAGCCCCATGCTGGATGTAGAGATTACTTAAATTAATTAATTTAAAAGGAGGGGCGCCTACATGGCTCAGTGGGTTAAAGCCTCTGCCTCTGGCTCAGGTCATGATCTCGGGGTCCTGGGACCAAGCCCCACATCAGGCTCTCTGCTCAGCAGGGAGCCTGCTTCGCCCTCTCTGCCTGCCTCTCTGCCTACTTGTAATCTCTCTCTCGAATGAATAAATAAAATCTTTAAAAAAAAAAAAAGGGTTCCTCAAGTAACTCATGGCTGTCTTAATGTAGATATTTCATCAAAGACTAAATACAACCTTATCTTGACAAATAGCCAGACCTTCATGTACTAGTACTCCCTACTTTCAGCAAACAGAAATTCCTTAGAAATGTACATTATCTCTACCCCTGCCCCTCCCTCCACAAACTTAAAAGTATGTATAATCAGATGCTCCTCATCAAACCCAGTGCAACTCTCCTAGTCTATGGACCTGTGCTATAATTAAAGCACCTTTTGCACCATAAAAAAATTAATTAATTTGAAAAATAATAGCCTTTTCAACAATCAGTGCTGGAAAAAATTGAACACTCATACGTAAAAACAGAGAACTTGAATACATCCCTTGCCTCACATACAAAACTTACCTGAAAATTAATAATAGACTTAAATGTAAAACCTAAAACACCAAGAACTTCTGAAGAAAACAAGAGAAAATCTTTGTAATCTTGAGTTCGGTAAGAATTTCTCAGCTATAAAACCAAAAGCACAATCCATAGAAGAAAAAAATGAGTAAGCGCTATCAAAATTAAAAACATCTGCTCTTCCAAAGATATAGTTAGGAAATGAAAAGATGAACCAGTAGGCCAGAAGAAAATACTTGTAAAACATGTATCTGATTTATTAAAAAAAAAAAAAAAAAAAACGGAATACAGAGTATAAACTCAAAAATACTCAATAATTACTACTAATAAAACAAACCACCCAATAAGAATTGTCAAAATATTGAAAAAGACACATCTTTTCACGTGCTCACTTCCCATTCATGTATCTACTTTGGTTAAATGTATTTTCAAATATTTTACTCACAGTGTCTTTACTCATCGTTGCGAAAATCTGGAAATAACCCAAACATCTTTCAACTGATGAATAGATAAAAAGAGATCACGGCATCTCCGTAGGGTAAAAGTGTAAATAGCAATAAAATAAATTAGCAACTGATACACACAAAACATGATAAATCTCGAATTATGCCGAGGAACAAGCTGGACTTTAAGATCTGCACTCGTGACTGCAGACATACGCCTCTGCAGATGTCAAAGCCGCAGGAAGAGAGAAGAGGCCTGCAGTTGCCAAGGCCTGGCAGCGGGAGGGGACGATCCCACCGTGGCACAGGACGACTCTGCGGAGATGAAACCGTCCTGGGCATTAACTACGGTTTACACGGATGTGACGCGTATGTCGCAAGTCCTGGAAGACCGTACAGGTTAAGTGGATTTCGCCCCACATGAAATTATAACTCAGTGACACTGACCTTT